TTAAAGGCTGGTCTAGGTCAAGGTCATATATGACAGCATTCCACAGCAGATCAGGTCCAAGGGTATTTAAAAACAATTTCCATTAATAAGGTTATCATTAAAATCAAGTCCAGTCAAAGAAATGGCCTGCTGTTTGGACTTCAAAATTGTGCCAAGTGGGATTCCTACAAAATGCAGCTGTGAACCGAGTAAGGCTCCTACAAGGGAATTTTCCTTCGAAGATGGGAATAGCAGGTTTTCTTCCAACATTTTCTGACTCAGAAGGTCAGTGACTCAGGAAGAACTGCTCACCACCCCCAGCCCCTGCTGGGCTGCCCTGCCAGGGGACAGCAGACCTTATCCCTGTTTTACACAGAAGCTCTCACACAGAGTGGCCTGTCTTTCAGTACCACCACCTGACAGAAAAGGAAGAGATCGGAATCTGTGCAGTACATATAGTTTCTTGAAATTAAGCAATATTCCTCATACATTTTGTGTTGGGGCTCTTTTAGCATGTTAACCTTTGTTGGTGTCCTTTCTGAAGGCAATGGCTAAGACAGAGAACTTGAAAAGGAGGCCTCGCATCATAGTCAGGCAGTCTTATCTTCTTTCCTAGATGGGAAGGTAGCGAGAGCAGACTTTGTGTCTGAATAAACAAAATAGCCAGGGAACTGTGTGGCCCTCAGGCCAAAGTGTGCTAGCCAGGTCAGTGCCATCGAGCAAGAACAAAGCAGGGAGTGAGGGCTTCCCACAGTTCCCCCGTCCCACAGCTCAAGATTTGGACTTGATTCTAAGCCATTATGATTACTTTTGCTACAAACACCCTAGTTATGGGAGCCTCCTATTAAGAAGTAGGACATATGTTATAAATACACATAAATAAAATAAAATAGACATCTATATTAAGTCCCAGAATATGGCAGAAAACATGGAGATGGGAAGAAACCACCAGAAAAGATATTATTCAAACTATCCAACCAAAAAGCATTTCGGTGCCTGCATTTGCTTTTTCAGCAGTGAACAAAGGAGTCATTTCAATCTCTTTAGAAGTGAGTCCAAGCTCTAGGTAAGAGACATTTGGAATAAGTAATCCTACCTCAAAGGCCATCCTTCCCAATCTGTTTCCCATCACAGTACTGAGAGAACTTGCTGATAATATGATAACAGTAGGGTAGTCACAGGTAATCAGACCAGATTGTTAACTGGTGGGCCCCGGGACTGGCGCTAGCTCAGGCAGCTCCAAGGTCTGGGGCTAGGGGTCTGTATCTCAGACGTGGCTCAGCAGCTCTGGCCCCAGTAGATGACTATAAACACCAATGGTCAAGCGGCTCTGCATTTCTGAGTTTACAGCTTCTGACCCAGTGAGTCCATGACTCAACACTAGAGCCACATCCTCTACCCTCAGGCATCCTGAAGGTCATGGTGGTAAACTGACATCTTGGAAAGGTAACACTTCTGATTTAGGAGACTTATTCTGAGTCCAAGGGCTCAGAGATATAGATGGTATCCTCTCTCACAGGCTGATCTCTAGTTGAGGCTAGGATAAAAGGACATATTTTTCTCAGGGCTGCCATCAAAAATAGAGCCATAGTGAACTGAGGCAAAGTAAGCATCAGAGAACAACTCTAAGCAGCAGGTTACTCAACACGCACCAAGGAAAAATGGATTTTTGTGAGGGCGAAAGCAGGCGGTAAGAAAAGGAGAACAAATGCAGTGACTTCTGAATAGGACCATTTAGCTGATTTATAAAAGATCACAACAGTGTCCTTTGCTACACAAGATTGATGTGCTCCTCCTTCAAAAGCTGGGGTTCACAGACTTGTTTTCTGGGGAACCAAGGAATCAACTCCAAGGACACAGGTCTATTATTTTCAAACCTTAATTAACTGGAACCTAATTAGGACTTTTCAGGGCATTTTTTTCCTCTTAAAATTTTTTTCTCTCTTAAGTCAGCATGGTGTAAATGGGGAAAAAGTGAACAAAGAGCTATTTGGATTTCTTGCACATAAACAACTCATTTAACCTCAAGGAGATTTACCCTCCTAATTTATAAACTGAGGGAGCCAATGAGGATATCCAAAGTCATTTTCTGTAATAAAATCTGGATTCTAAAACATGCAAATCATTATCTACCAATAATCTGCAATCATTCTTCTATCTTAACCACCATACCCTGTCCCTTAACATGAGTTGGGATCTCCTAATGGTCTTTTATACTTTTTAGAGTATTTCACATAGTTAATTCTATTGAACTTCACAACATGCTGATGGGTGGTAAGGTCTCTAAAATGTCATAACAGAAAGTCTCTCAGCTAATGTGCTTCAATAACAGTTGGTTAGTTATTCTAGAAGTTGGGAAAAGAAGGGAACCATAAGGAAGAGATATATGGGCTGGGCGCAGTGGCTCATACCTATAATCCCAGCACTCTGGGAGACCAAGGCAGGTGGATTGCTTGAGCTCATGAGTTTGAGACAAGCCTGAGCAAAAATTGAGACCCCCACCTCTATTAAAAATAGAAAAAAAGAAAAGGGCGGTGCCTATGGCTCAAAGGAGTAGGGTGTTAGCCCCATATACTGGAGGTAGAGGGTTCAAACCTAGCCCCAGCCAAAAAACAAACAAACAAACAAAAAAACCAGAAAGAGATACATATATAACTAGATGGTTTGTTTTAACTTATATACATGTACATTCATTCACTAATTTTTCTCATGTAAGACTTTTAAAAAAGTATTATGCTAATTGGATTTATACACAGTCTTTTCTGAATAAACTACATTCATAATTCACTGTCTATAATTTATCATTTGGGTTCCTTTAAAAGAGAATGAGAACTTGTTTATAAGGCCATTTGAGTATAGGACACTTTCTGGATTTTATGATTTTTCCATCTTTTACAGATGTGTAAGTTAAACAACTGAATAAAGACTTATTCTTATCTAGGTTAACATTTAACTTGTCTGTTTCAAAAAATAAGAATTCTCTTTTTTATGCTTGTATTTGATCAGTTTACCTAAAACTTAAACTGCATAATTACAACATGTATAACTAGCACAGGCAGGTTTGGGAACACACACATTGCCCTGGTGGCAACAGAGGGGGAAGGAGGTGTTAGAAAGCCTGTGTGGTATGCACAGACCTGGCCACTGTGCTTTGCAGAAGAAGGATGAGCACTGGCTGAGATGACTGTGGGGCTGGACTGCAGCTGGCGGAGGGAGATCAGGGCTAGAGAGACAGGTTTGGGCTCATTAGCATCCAGTTAGTAGTTAAAATCTCAAGAGTAGCAGAATTCATTCACTCTGGGGCGTGGACAAGAAAGAGGGAAGGTGAGCTAGATCCCAGGGAATGTCAACCCCAAAGCAGTGAGCAGAAGAAGAGGTTTATGCATAGGGAGCCAGAAGGACCTTATTACAGATGTACAATGAGAAACATAGAAACAGGAGGTAGGCTTCAAAGAGCCTAGTGCAGTACAGATGTCTAGGAAACAAGAACAGTCAAGCCACCTTGGACTTGACAATGAGACTATTGGTGAGTGAGAAGCAGGGTATGTGTACACTTCCACAAGTGATTTCCCTGAAGAAAGGGAAGGAGATAGTCTGTAATCTCTAATGTCTTTAGTTCCTCTTCTGTTGTCCCTACTGTCTTCTTCAGAGTACCCTGTGTGTCTCCTGTTTCCCCATCAGCATTCTCACACAGACAGGCCTGCTTAAGCTGTGTGAGCCCAGGTCAGGGAAGGTGGAGTGGTAGAGCTCCAAAAGCTGCCCTGACTCTGTCTAGCACAGGCAAGACAGATCATTCCTAGGCCCACAGCAGCACCTACATGGGACGCCTGCTAAGAAGCATTTGTACATAGAGGCTCGGCGCCTGTGGCTCAAGTGGCTAAGGCGCCAACCACATACACCTAAGGTGGTGGGTTCGAATCCAGCCTGGACTCGCCAAACAACAATGACGGCTGCAACCAAAAAATAGCTGGGTGTTGTAACAGGCGCCTGTGGTCCCAGCTACTTGGGAAGCTGAGGTAGGAGACTCGCTTGAGCCCAGGAGTTGGAAGTTGCTGTGAGCTGTGATGCTACAGCACTCTACCCAGGGAGACTGCTTGAGGCTCTGTCTCAAAATAAATAAATAAATAAATAAAAACAAAGAAGTATTTGTACAAGTTTGTTGCAAAGTAGGATGAAATCAGAACTTCAGAGAACCCTTTAAAAGAAGGTCTTTCAGCTCTCTCCGAGCTGAAAGGCTTGCAGAAAGAAGTCTCCATGAGGCCAGCTGAGCCTACAGTCTGACAAACAGCTGCATCAGCCAATCCCAGCTGCACTGCTGCCCACCTCATTTTTCAGAAATGGAGACTTCCAAGTATAGGGAAGTGAGTTGGGGTAAGAAATACAGATGAAAGAGAAAAAAAATTCCATCACATGAAACACAAGCTCCACTCTACAATGTACTGACAAGCAATGGAAAAAGAAGTCCTGGATCCTAACAGCTACCAACTCTCAAACGTGGTAAGTCAACGGATTTAAATGACAGTTGCCTAAGCTGACATTCTACAGTCTCCTCGTTTCTCTGCTTCTTTAGATATTAATCTGGAATTTATAAAGGAATAACTCTTTGTGGAAAATGAGGGATAAGAAAAGATACTTTTTTTAAGCCTCAGGATCAGATCCTGGCTTGCTGCCTCCTAAATTTCCATGTTTTCTATTCTTGCTCCCATTAAAATGGACTTGAGGTAGAAACCTGAGGTGAGGATCACACACTAGACATAGCCTTATCAGGGCAGAGTAGCTAGGGCTTTTGGTCACAGAGACCCCTGCCCCCACAGACGCCACCCTTGTGCCTTGGCTCATGTCATTAAGCCTCATGTGCCTGTGGAGTTGGACGGTGGGTGAGAGTTAGTTGCTACTGGCCCAGAGAACACTGTTTTAAGGGAGTGACTGGGGCAAGGAGAGGAAGGAAGAACCCAAGGCTTCCATGCTGTGTCTCACCTACACTGGGATCACTGGTTGCACTGAAAAAAATACATGCTGACCTGATCCAAACGCAGTGCGCCGTCCACGAAGCGCTGTTGACGTAACTGTTTTGCAATCTCATGGAGGTTCAAGATAGCCTGGTGTACCTCCTTGCTGCTGTGCTCTGGAGAAATGGGGGGCAACTCCTTCTCAGGGATTCTCTCAGTTGGGCTTTCAATCATGCTCTGCGCATGCTCATAGCTCAGTTTTGTGCAGGAGCGGATGATGGTCCGACCAAACCATTCATCAAGGATCTGCAAAGACAGATTGTGAGGGAATCATGAGGACTAATTTTTCAGAGTTGTCTTCGTTCAACCATTCATCCATACACATTCAACAAGGATTTATTGAACACCAACTTTGTCCTTGGTGTCGGGTTCTAGGGACACAGCTGAATCAGACCTGGAAGCTGCTGCCCTCAGGAAGCTTAGTCCCACAGGGCATGGAATTAATTCAATAGGCAGTGGGAGGTCTATGGACATTTCCCAAGTACACAGGTGGCACCAAGCAAGATACCTGGGGTGAAGGGCCTGTTGGAGGCCTTTTCATTAGTTTGGAGAGTGGTCATCAGTGTCAACATTGGGGGAGAAAAGAGGGATGAGCTCCCAAAGATGTGGTAACACGTCAGACGTAGGGTAAGGGAGAGGGAGAAGGCAGGTCCACTGATGGAAACAGGGAACACAGGTGGAGAAGAGAAACAGTTCCAGCTTGTTATACTTGGGGCACATATATAGAGACAAAAGTGTAGAAAAGAATTTCTCAATCTCAGCATTACTGGGCTGAATGAGTTCTTGCTGTGGGGGGCTGTACCATGTATTATAAAATGTTTGGCAGAATCCCTGGCCTCCACCCACTAGCAGCATCTCTCTCCCAGCCCTCAAAGCAACAACTGAAAACATCTCTAACATCTTTAGGCATTGTTAAATGTCCGCCTGGGAAATCAGACCTAGGCTGAGAACCACTAGGCTAAAAGATATGCTCAAGTTTAGTGGTAGTGAGAGTATCACTGTCAGGTTGTATTTTAGTCTATTAAGTTTTTGGTATAATGAGCATTTCTTACTTTTGAAACAAAAACAAAACACACATTAAACTATCTGGGAGACTCCTGAGTCTGAGGTACAGAGAAAGATGCAGACAGGTGAGGCTGTCTGGAAGGCATCTGGGGGTGTGGGCTGGGGCTGGGGTTATGCTGGTCTTGGTGGAGAGCTGGTATCATCCAGCACAGGGTCCAAGAAAGAAAGAGCAAGTGAGGGAGTCGAGGCTGTGAGGTCTAACACCTCCTCCATCCTAGGGAGCAAAAACAGAGAAGTCAGAGAATAAAAACAGAAGGAAAACAAGAGAGTTCAGACACAGGAGAAAAACCAGGGTGGCCAATGTTCGGAAAAGCAGCAGGAAAGAACTTTAAGAAAGGGGTCAAAGGCAGAGAGGCAGTCATACAGCACTTAAGGTGGGATGGGCACTTATGTCTCCGATAGCAACCACCTGCTCTCACATTGCCCCTGTGAGGTGAGAATCTGCCTATCTTTCCTCCTGGCTAGGAAACTTGCCTAAGCTACACTGCTAGAGACTGGCAAAGCCAGGAACTCAGGCAGTCCATCTCCAGAGCCTACACCTTTACCCACAAGTGTGTGTCCACTGCCACCTGGGTAGGTGTCAAGGAGGATGAGAACAAAGAATGAGTCTATGCATGCAGACTCATTCAAGTTTCTCACTCAAGTTTCTTTTTGTTTTTAAAAAATGCTTATTATAGAAAAAAAATACAGCTGTTAGGGAGAAAACATAGGGCAGAGGGTAGAGAAAATGCAGAGACTTAAGGCAGGTGCTGCAAATGGATGACAGATCTACGGTGAGGGCTCCTTTCACTCTCAGGACAGCCTTGTGCACATGCCCCACATGCCACTAACCGCTCAAGAGCAATGTGTGTTGTGACATAAAAAGCCCTGGGAAGAGTTGGGTTAAGGACAGGTGGAGGCCAGCAGCAGAGGCTGCAGGGATGGCTGGGAAAGAAAGCTGTGGAGTAAGCAGGACAGAGGACTGTATGGTGTCTGCAGGGACCAGCAGAAGATGGAAGACACACAAGAACAAAGGGATCCCAGGCAAGGAGGAGGCCAGGCACTTGGCAGAGAGGGTTAGCTGAGAGCACTCACGTCAGACACCCCCAGTCTAGGTAGTCAAGCATGAAGCAGAGGACAAGTGAGGCTGGGTGGAGTCCATGGGCCTGAAGAAAGTGGGAACGCTCTGAATAATCACCATGGAAGTGTGATCCCCAAGCAGGCTCAGGGAGGGAGTGTCCATCAGCGGCAGAACTCTCAGCATGGACTTGCACACATCCCTCTTGCCTTGCTCTTCACCAACCAAACCATTCTGTACACAACCTCTGAGCCAATGTTTCCCCCAAAAGGTTATCTGAAGGGTCCATAGGTGCCATGGAGAAAGGAGCTGTCCATACCACAAAGCCGCTGTGGGGCACAACTATCCTTGGGGCTACAGAGACCTCTTTGGTATCCTCACCCTCCCTTAGAGGAAGAATTAATACTCTTAAAACATGGCAGCCCTGAGGTACGGGAGAAAATGGTGGCAACCTCTCACTTTGTGTGTGTGTGAGATTCAGCGTAAAGAGTCTTATAAATAGTCTTGAATCGTCAATATAAGACTTCAATTTTTCTTTTAAAAAATCCTGAAACTATGTTTTCCAGATTATTTCAAGAACTATTGTTACCCAAAAATACATGGTATTCAAATAATGTGAGTCTTCCAATGAAGACTTCCATTGTGGCAAGCGGGCCTTGAATTTGGATCTCAGGAGGCATCTGTGTGTGCTGCCGGCAAGGCAAGGGTGAGACTAGTACCAGATGCCAGCCGACAGTCCCACTGGGGAGTGTCCGGTGCAGGTCTCCAGGAGAGCCCCTTTCAGGTTCAGCCTAGGTTGCCCTCCTAGCACATCCACACTCCCAAGTAAAGCTGTTCCAGCCTTGCCTCCTCTAGAATGACAGGGCCATGACCTACTCATTCTTGTGGTCTCAAAGTTTCCCCTTGGAGATTTAGTTTGTTTCCTTTACTCCATTTCATTCCAAACCCAGTCTCCCCTCCTCCTGGGTGTCCACATCATGCTGGATGGCCTGCCTCCGGCTCAGGGAATGTCAGCTTCCATTCTATTCCACTCCCTCTTCTATACACTTTACAAGTGGCCTGGCAGATTCCCTCCAGCATCCAGGCCACAGGACATGTGGTCCCCTGGGGTCTGTGTCATTTCTCCCTGGCCAGATAGCACCCTGACTGGATATCTGTTTTCATGTAAACCAGTGTGTCAAAAACTGCTTTAAGAATCTACTGAATGCACCAGGCTGTCCTCTCTAAAATATTTATGCATTAAATTTAGCAGAACATTCCATAAGGTTCCTAGCCACCTTTCTACCCACTAGCCCACGGTACCTGGCTCTAAACACATCTTTGTTGTTTACTCTTGGTTGTCTGATTGCTGAGCCCTGACCAGGGCTACCTGTAATCCTGACATGTTCTTAGAATGGGTTACCTGTAACTCACAGTAATCAGAAGCATACCCCTCCTCAAGCCTGCTACAGCCCACACTGGCAGAACCTATCGATTAGTTTGAACCATTTTTTTTCCCTAATGGGCACCTCTGCTCCTTTGTTTCCTTACAGTCAAGACAGATGTCTCTGAGCAGCACACATGAACACCACCAAATCTGAGACTTCAGTACTGACGATATTTTTCTGTTAGCCCCTTCACCTCATATTAGCCCTCTCCCCTTATGCCTGCATCCCAGAATGTCTGTCTCAGCCTTCTTTTTAAACCGTACTAAGGGCCAAGGAAGAAGCCCGAAGAGCCATCAGGATCTTTCTGCCCAGTGACAGAGGACTCTGGCAGCAGAACTTACCCTGTTAAACACAATCCAGTGCCTCTGGAAGTCACATCTGATAGATATACTAAAAAATTTCTTAGGCCAGAGAAACTAGGCCTGAAAGAAAAGGATGCCTGTCACTTCCTGACAGAGATAGGTAGCAGGAAAGCAAAGATCCAAATGGAGGGGGTCCCAGGAAGAGCCAGCCTTGCAGTATGGACAGCAAGCCTCTCTGGATGGAACACCTCATTAATTTCCAATTTGGAAACTGTATTCATATCAACACCCAGTCCATAACCAAAGCCAGTGGCAGAAGACAAAAGGACAGAGTTTTTCATGGAAAAAGGAAAAATGCCACGTGGAGATTTATAAACAAAACCCTTCAGAAAGAAGATCAAGTCCTTCCTCTTTCTTTTGCTCAAGTGAAGAATTTGGGTCACTTTCTTCTGTAGGCAAGCAAGTTTCCTGCACACACTCTAGAATATCCCTGTTTAGAATGTCAGATTAAACACAGTGCCAATACCTGCTGCAGGCACATTACTAGGAAAGTGCCTGGTTAAAAAGGAGCACATAAAATCTGCAAAGGCATCATATTTCAAGATCTACTTACTGTACTAAGTAAGACTGAAAGTAGTACGCAAATAACACTGTTAGTACTGTAGTCTGGAAACCACTACCTTCTAAGTTCTCCTTAGTACATCTGGGAGGAGGAGTGCATTGTTCAGCCCATTTTACAGTTGAGAAAACAGGCCAGGGATTTGTTGAAGTCACACAAATTCCTAAGTGGCAGCCAAGACCAGATTCAGGTCTAAAGATTTAGATATTAAATCTACTGTTATTTTTATTATATTTTAGCAGAAGCTCATAAAAGAGAGACAAATGATGAAGCATACATATCTCAAATATGTATCAACTTCCTATATTTAATAGACACAAAGGTATGAGGACACTACATCTCTTGAAAATTATTCAGTTCAATTTAAATGTATTTAAACATTTATCCTTTGAAAAATGTCAGTTTAGACATCTTTGGTTCAAACAACTACTAATGCGGTCAACTTCTAATTTTAAATAATTAGGCACAAAATCACTTCTTTTGCAGCAGTTCTGTATGTAAAATGTTTCGTTCTTAATAAAAATATATTAGAAAGAAACATTTTTCTGACTAGAATAAAACCAGGCTGTCTGGAGTGGCTGAGAGAAGGGGTAGGGGGTGAAGTAGACTGTAGTGGCTTCTCACAACTACCAACACAGAGCAATTATCCTTGGGGGGCTGGCAAGTTGGTGAGCTAAGTCAAAGGTGCAGAAGAAAGTATCTGAAAGGATGCTGTCTCCTTCCTGGGTGGCAGTGTGCAAAGGGGTTTGGAGGTAGTGTGGGGTCTCGGGAGGGAA